CTGTGAATGCTTCCTGACAATATAAAGTCTTCAAACGCTATCGCTTTGGTGTTTTTACGAAAACAGAACATATTTTTGCACAGGACGATTTCTCGAAGACGAAGTATGGTCCATTACACCAAGAAACACTGATATGTAATTGCCAAACAGCTATACCTTGGTTTAACGTAGGCATCTCAAGGAAAAACTGCATTCTTTTATGATTTTTGTGGCGGTGTTTCCTTGTTTTCTTGTTTATTTTTCACTGTTTTCTAGTGTTTTGAATAAAATTCCCGCCTATTTGCAAAATACGAGTCCACAATCATGTTGAAAATGTGTGTCAGCGGTCGTTACTCGCTGCTTACTTTATGTAATTTTGTGTTTAAACGCCCCACGCAAGCCCCACGCACAGTTAACTACGTGATTAGTTAACTATCGGACTAACTACGTTTTGTGCAACGCAGTTAAGTCATGTAGTTAACTAATTGCAGTTAAGGATTTAACTACAGTGATTAACGCTAACTACATGCAGTTAGCGCTAATTACGTTTTTATACAACCGGCCCCAGAAAACTGCAGATTAACTTTCAGGTAGTTGAATCCCTCTCCATCCGCGGCTTTCTGGTATACATACTGTACATACAGTCTGAAGTCACTCAGAAATATCAAGGTTGCTATGAATAGTACTGACAATTATTAATGTTGCAATCTGAATATTTTGACACTGAATATGGAAACGTGATCATTGTGGTGTGCCGTTAGCAATGTGAATAAATCAAATGCTTAAGATTACAGGACGCCTTTTTTGGCGTTTTGTGGAAAATCGCTACTGCCCGCTTCAAATCAGTCCGATTTTCATCAAATTTTCACCAAATGTTAGCCAGTGCATGCAAAATATGATAAAGTTGTAAAATTGACAAACAATAAAATAATGTAAGGATTATTCAGGAAAATCTTAAGTCGCGGTACCTTTACGCTTTTGAGTTATGTTTCTGCTGGTTTTAAGATATATTTATGAAAATATCATTTTTATACAGTAAAATAGTTGTCCTAAAAAATTGTGTTCGGAAATTTTTGTTTATTTCGTCATTCCGCTGATATGGCGATTTCTTTGACGACTGCAATATATTTCTGAATCGTTTGTGTGAATTGCTCCTTATTATTAAAATATCCAAAATTAGAACAAAGCCGAACACAATTTTGAAACTGACGTCTTTAGCTATGACCTGTGAAAATTTGAGAAAAAATCGTTAAAACCCGCAGGAGCACAACTCGTTTAAAAATCAGTTATTGCCTTAAAATTCTTCGGGAGAAAATTGAATTTGAATATTACATTTTCAATGTTTTTCTTATTGCTAGCGAAATGTATTTTATTAAATAACTCTTCGAGTTTTCAACATTTTTCGTTCAAACTTGGTCAGATAGTAGAACTAGTCTAATGCTTTCATTGAAACCAATAAAAAAATTGTAGGCAAAATTATCACTCAAAGGTGTTCTGTAACCTTAAATAAACAATGACCTTGAATCTTCTTCATTCTGGTTTAATATTTGCAATCAGGGGGAATAACAACTTCTGGTCATACGACAGCATATCCCCCTTGCGATAGTGACTTCTAGTAATAAAAATATTTTGTCCACGTCTCTTGTGGAAATCAACTCAAGTTGACTGGGTCGACGTGTTTAATTTAAATAAAGTTTTTCTATCTACACCCTCCATTTTGTTTCACACGAGTTATGTACTTGAATTTAATTCCATCCTTCTCACTATTATGAAAATCATAGTTAAATGAGCTATGATTACGATATGGATGGGATCTTGAATGATTGAATTTAATTAAACCCTTTGTATTTACTATAAAAGAAAATTTTGGAAATAGGACAGTGTAACAATATTGTTCATTTGTCAGTCACTCGCAGATAAAGCATTTTGCATGGTTGTCACTTGTAGAAATTTCCCACTCTTAGGAAACATGGTATATGTTACAGGGATGTAGCGGATCTGGATATCAGTATCTGGTAAAAAATAAACATCCGGCAGTAACCCGGATTCGGGCAAAATTTGGCCAGGCATTTACTGGATAATACTGGAACTTTTATTAGAACTATGAAACAAAAACTGTTTTGTTTGTCGTTGTGAAACAAGACCAATTACTGCATACATGACATGCAGAAATTTGTTTTCAAGATCTAAACTGCTCTTAGATACTGGATAAAGCACATAGTTAAACAATGGACTATATTATGGAAAAAAAATAGTGAAGTATTGTCCAAGTACCACGTGGGCTGTCATCTCTGTCTTTGACGATCCTGATGACAGCTTCTGGGCCTGGTCACACCTGTTTAATGAAATATGTGATAGACACGCTCCCTATAGGCAAGTTAAAATTAGGCAACAGTCATTACCTTGGATAACTCCCCAGATTCGACATCTGATGAACTTGCGTCTGAAAACGTTTTTGAAGGCTAAGAAATCAAATAGCCAGGAACTGTGGTCTGAGTATCGTAGCCTTAGGAATAGAGTAACTCAAAAGGTCAGGCTGTCGAAAAGTGAATATTATACTAACTTGTTTGATGAAGTTAAAGATTGTCGATCCTATTGGAAACTGGTGAAGAATGCTTCAGGTAGTCGAACTGTCCAGCCAATTTTAGGTATAAGGGGAAACGATCAAATCATCGAAACATCTGACTCGCGGAAAGCAGAAATCCTTAATGAACATTTCTCTACTATTGGAGAGAAATTAGCGAGTGAATTATATTCGGGTCAAAGTCAGGAAAATCCTTTTTCGCATATTATTCGTGTTACACCAACAGTAACGAACATTGAACTTACTTATGATTCGATTATGCAAGGTTTAATGAAACTAAAGAACAATAAAACTTGTGGACCGGACAACATCGCACCAAGATTACTTAAAGGTGTTGGTCATGTTTTAATTCCATCGTTGTTTTCTCTATATTCAATGAGTGCGTCGTGCAATACTGTCCCAAGCACATGGAAATTTGCAAGAGTTTCTGCCTTGTTCAAGAAGGATGATGAAACCGATAAGCAAAATTATCACCCAATTTCTTTATTATGTGTCCCTGGTAAACTCATGGAAACTCAGGTTGTTTCTACCATCACAAACCATGTTGAGCACCATAATCTTAGAAATAAACACCAGTGGGCTTATAAGAAGGGACATTCTACGCAGCTACTTTTAGCTAGGATGACCGAAGATTGGAGGAGTGCACTGGATCGAAAGTTAGTTGTTGGTGTTGTCTTCATTAGTTTCCGTAAAGCTTTCGACTCTCTACCTCACAATATTCTGCTCTACAAACTTCAAAGTTTGGGTATTGCAGGTGACCTATGGTGCTGGATAAGAGATTACCTCACTGATCGCCATCAAGCAACCGTTGTAAACGGCTGCAAATCAGAATCTATGCCTGTTAGGTTTGGAGTACCTCAAGGGTCAGTTTTTGGTCCTATACTCTTTTCAATATTCTGTAACGATTTACCAGATGTTGTAGTTGATGAAAATGAGCTGAGGATGTTGAGATGTATGCGGATGATACAACATTGTACGTAGTAGCTAGGACTCACGATGAAGTTGCCAATATGCTGAATAAAACTTTAAAGAAGTTATATGAATGGTGCTGTCTAACTGGACTGTCTCCTCACCCGGGTAAGACTGAGTACATGCTTTTAGGTCGAGGGAAATTTACTGGTCCACTCCAGGACATCAAATTTGGAAACAATAGTATTAAACAGGTGCTCGTTTCTAGATGTTTGGGATTAGAAATTGATTATCAATTAAATTGGACCTACCATGTTTCTGAAGTTATTAAAGCATTTACTCAGAAGTTGAATTTGTTAAAATCATTATACTTCCTACCGAAAAAAGGTAGAGAGGATTTTTACTTCAAGGTTATACTTCCATCCATAACCTACGGACTAATGATTTGGAGCTCGTGTGGCAAGACCCTCATGGATGAAATAGAAAGAATTCATGTTCGAGCTGCAAAGATCATCTACAAACTGGACTGGAGTACTCCCAGCGACCAAGTGCTGGTGAAAGCTAATTGGAACACTACCAGGGACATGAACTCAAAATGTCTGCTATGCTTTGCATATAAGTGTTACTATGGTCATGTTCCAGAACAATTACAATCTATTGTTAGAAAAAGTAATTACACATATGATTTTGGAAGGAAGTTAAGTTTAGCCTTACCTGTGCCTAAATCTAATTATGTTAGGAATTCAATATATTATAAGGCAGCTAGTCTGTGGAACTCTTTAACGAATGAGCATAGGGCTTCAAATAACATAGCTAGTTTTAAAACGATTTTAAGGACAGATAAATTTTAAATTTAGGTAATTATTGACTGAGACTGGGTAATAAGTTTTTATTAATATAATATAGCTTAAATTATTGTTGTAAATACACGACCACATCAGTTCAGCTGTAATCTTATCGTGTTAAAATAAATGCTTTAGTAGTAGTAGTAATATTATCTGGTTATTATCCGGTATCCGGTTATCATTTTTCCCCTGACCGGTAGACTACTATCCGATATCTGCGAACTCGAAAACTTCACAGTTTATTTAGCCTTGAGGCTCTAAACCTATAATTATAATATATTTATTTAATTTAAAAAAAACGTAACATTTATAATTGTATATGTATTTATAATCTATTTCTTGATGTAAAATTATTGAGCAAAATAAACTTGACTTGACCCTAATATGTTACTCAATCCATTGCTTGAAAGGACAGCATATCTGTTGGTGGTATAATCCCAATGGTGTTGTTATCACTTGTGAATGGCAATGGTCCTGCCTTTGAACTGCTTCGTACCCCATGATTAGACTGTTGTTGAATTTCTAGGCTCCATTAGATATCAAATTGGATGATGGGAACAGAAACAAATAAAGCTGAAGAATGCAAATTTGGACCATATACTGCACCTAATTATGGTATGCATTTAAATCTGATAAATTTAACTTAAGTTGTTTTGTTCTCTGTTTTGTAGCTGGAAATTTCTAGACATGTAAATTTTATGCACTTAATATTAGACCTAACCCGGAGCAGTTGAAAAAATGCAACTATAGGCCCTGTGTTGAATGCAGTAAATGTATAAATTGAAATTTCTGTCTACAGAACCCTTCGACAATAGGTTCTATCGAGTGAGATACCCCAAATCCTGATATTCTCGCTATTTTGGTCTTAATTTAAAACGTACATGACACAATCTTTATTAGTCAGTTTACAAAGAGGAGTTTGTATTGTGTAACCCATTCAACAGAGCTTTCAGAAATAATAGAGTAGGTGGCTACTGGCTGTGTTAACAAAGTAGGCAGCTATGGGGAGGGCGGTCCAGGGAGCCTTAAAGTCATCCAAATTAACTAGTGTATAGTGATTAGATACCAACACAACTGAGCTCTGTAACCAAATTATAATATGTCACCACTAATCATTCTTCAACAAGATAACTTCAAGATTTAGGATGGCAAATAACTAAGTCAGTTTTGCGAAATAGTATACGTCCTCTTCTAAAATAATAACGCTATAAAGTGGCCCAATCTTGAGGAAAAATAACTTTGTTTGAAAGCTTAGAGTGGAGGAAGGAGAGCAGAATTGATACTTCAAGTATTAAACAAAGTAACCGACGGTGAACCTCGTGGCACCCGCTGGAGCACCGGCGGCCGGCGGCTTATTTTCATTGAAAGCTCTGATTGAGTGGCAGCACTCTCCCCTTGATGAGTAAAATCGTCTGGCGTTAGACAGTAAAATAATAAAGTAGGGCACATCAAAGTGCATTGCCACTGAAAGGGTTAGGAAGATGCATGGACGGATAGTCTGATTAACCCACTGAGTGGCAGCACTCTCCCCTTGACGAGTAAAATCATCTAGTGTTAAACTGAGTAATTAATGATAAAATAGGGCACATCACAGGGCGCATTCCCACTTAAAGGGTTAACATACTGAGATCTGTACAGAGGCATTTGCTTTGAATTAATTTATATTTGGTAATATTTAGATTTTGAAAGAACTTTGCATTGGCTGCCTGGAGACAGACACTACTTACAAGGCTCTCACCAAGGTAAATTTAGGATGTTATATTTAGTGCAAGACTCTCCCCTTGATGAGTAAAATCGTCCGGCATTAGACAGAGTAATATAATAAGGTAGGCGCATTTGGACACGTTGCTGCTTAACGGGTTAATCGTAACCAGGGCTGTTCAAGGGGGCAAGGGGGGGGGGGCACCCCAAAATGAAGAAGGGAGATGTAATAAAATAAATATTAATAAATGGTTGTAGATAATACAATTAATTGCATAGTTCAAAAACATATATAGGTCAGTGGCACAAGTTTGTTGCAAATAGCAAGAAAAGTTACCTATGATGACGTTATTGACTCATTTGCATTTAAAGGCGCACGTAAAGTACACCTTTAACTTGTTCAAATCTAATTCACTTGTAAGAATTTGTAAATAGTATTTTACACCTTTGTACGATACTGTAGCTACTGTACACTAAATAAAAAAGGGAGAAAACTGTGCCCATGGGGAAGGGGCACCCAGGTTGATTTTTTCCCTGGGCCCCCAAATTTCTCTGAATGGCCTTGGTCATGGCACATTTTCATTAACTGACATGGTAAACAAACAAAGCAAAAAGATTTGAAATACAAACGAAATTATACAACTAGTTTCATAATATTCTGACACTGCATAGACGAACGAAAAATTCGTTGGCTCGAGCGGGATTTGAACTCGCATCTTCGGGTATCTAGACCGCCGCTCTACCCATTTAGCTATCTAGTCAACAGGGATTGGTAGCGAGTATTATCTGATTTAAGTGCACGAAATATTTTCGTGACAACTTAAAGCTCGTCTTGCGAGTTCAAATTCCGCTCGAGCCAACGAATTTTTCGTTCGTCTATGCAGTGTCAGAATATTATGAAACTAGTTTTTCATCTCTGAGGATGGTTCTGAAATACACAACTAGTAACGGAGCATATCTAAGCTTCTAGCAATCAAGTGCTTGGAATCATATGTTGTCTATTAATATGTTGCATGCAGTCTTTAATATTACAATAGGTATGAGAGCTATGATTTTGGAAATCTCGCGGAATGTTAAAGTCGGTTCCGGCCGGAACTGAGAATATCGGTTCTGGTGCATCCCTATTGTTATGGCCTTTACAAGATTTCGTCTGTCTTGTATTTCAACTATCATGCAGTAATTAAACTAGGAGCTACAAATTCTTACAAAAATTGTGGGAAATGCTGTAAAAATTACTGATTGAAATAAAGTGCTTGTCCAGCAGTTCTTTTTGACTGCTTGCTTGTACAGTATATTATAGTATATTATTTAGTAGCTGTTCGTATAGTATAATGACTGGATCAAAAATCTGGACACAAAAATCATCATTTATGTACTGTATTTTTAGATTTTATCGACTTATTCTCACTCGAAGACTACAAAGATGGAAATACTGTGAAGGTAATTGAAGGTCGTTCTTAGCTGGTTTATGAATTCCGAGCACATTTTCTTATAGTGCCGCAATAGACAGGAAACAAAATCTTTGATTTATATTAAAAGCTGCATGTAGTTGTAAATGGAAAAATTTCAGGGGCAGCAACGAACGCAACTGAGGAAGCTATCATTGATGCTGGTTTTAACAGAGCTCGCTATATTGTAAGAAATAAATGAGTAAGATATTATTGCCCAAAATGATCCTGATATTTCCCCATATACTTTACCATGGCATCACCGCAGTATATGTACATGGTGAATTTGTGGTCAGAGCTCGACAACTGGCCTCTGTAGCTCAGCTGGTTAGAGCGCTGCACCGGAATCGCTGGGTCGCAGGTTCGATCCTTGCCAGAGGGCCTATAGTTGCATTTTTCGCAACTGTTCCTGGTTAGGTCTAATAAATGTATAAAACTTACACTCGAAATTTTCAAACACACTAAATCTAGTGATGCCCAAAATAATCCTAAGAAATAAATGCCATAGTTTTTCTGTCCATAAACGTAAGGCATATGGAAACGGAATATTCTTACTTCAATATTCAAAATTCCTACCTGCATTATTCGTCTTACTAAAGCAAATATACATTCTAATTTTGTTTCAAATTTTCATATATATTCATATTCCTACTCTGAATGTTCATATTCTGTCCTAAATATTCCTAACAAATATTCATATGCAGACTACTTTAAAACGGGTCCAGTATTCAATATTCCACTTTCACCCTCGAAACCTAAATGTTTAGACTGGCATGTAATAATAGGAATTGCACCCTGTCCGCCATATTGAATTTAAACGCCCCGGGCGGAGTATACGGAGTCTGGGACTAGATTCGACATAGACTTTTTACGAGCTATTTCAAACAAAAAGTGAGGGAGGACATTTTTATTTCATTTCCCACACAACAGATATACTAAGGGCAAATATATATATATGGTTTTAGATGGCTACATAACATTGAATAGCAAAAAGAAAAAAAAATTAAACTAAACACTAAAATAAAGCAGGCCGGAAACCAACGCAATTACGTTAACGACGCATTTGCCACTGGCGCCACAACGCAACCAATCGAAAATTGCGTATTATGATTCCACGATTGAATACAGATAGATAGATCAAATCAAATCAAATCAAATTTATTTCCGTAGGGTATAACCTCTTCAGTAATATATCACTGGTATCAATGAGGGCCCTAGATAGACAGATAGATAGATAGATAGATAGATAGATAGATGATTTATTCAGTTTTAAGAGACTTTACAGCTGATAATGGCTGAATTGCGTTAAAACTTTACAATTATAAAAATTTAACAAACCTAATGATTAAAAATATTTACAATTACTAACAATAAAAGAATTCATAAACCGATCAGTTTTGGCCCTTGGAACGTTAAGTTGACTTTTACGTCTCAGTTGGTATGAACAGTTATTTTCAGATGGTAGTAGAGATCTGAGTTTGTGAGATTGATCTCGAGTGATCTCATTAAACAACTTGCACGTCAAGAGCTGCCTGCGTTCGAAGAGGCGAGGCAGATCGCTTTCTTCGAGGGAATCAGTGTATAAGGCATCCAAGGGTAGATTATTCTTAGAGCTCTCTTCTGCAGCCTTTCAATGTCGTCTGATAGGTACTTGGGTAGCGGTTTGGTTAGTTTGGTTGGTTAGCGAGTTGGTTAGTTAGTTGGGAATACAGGTTAGGTTTTCTCGGTATAGTTATCATGTTATAATATAAAGCGATGTGTCTATACGCGTTGCTGTGAGTTTTTAAACCGGATGATTAAAAATCTGATTTGCTTTAATAATACGGTCAAAAATAGATTAATCTGACTTGTTTTCTTTACTATCGAGATGAAAAGATGTATACAAACTATAGAACTGTTTTGAAAATTGGTGTCGTATTGTGTCGTAATACATTTTCGTCCTAAAATATCTTTTGGTGGAAAAATTCCACTAAATCCAACGAAATTCGTGGAAAAATTGTATATCAAATGTATATCCCAGGCTCCTACTCATTTAAATTCAATAGGGCGGCCAGGGTACAATTCCTACCACAAGTCAGACTAGGCATAATTCTTATCTCGACAGCCATTGATCAATATGAGGTCAAAACTGTTCCCTAGTAGCTGTTTCAAATTTGGAATTCAGTGACAACATTTTAAACATCTATTTGGTGCTATTCAGTTACCCAGGGAAGAGTGGGGTAGACCAATGGGGTGGACACACTCGCGCCGCGAGGACACACTCCCCCGTGGCGACGCCAATGCCAGGAATAGATTTATAAGCACATTCACTCAGGTAAAAAATTGTTCCAAAGTGGCGGACAGCTCATTATTTTTAATCAAAATATCTCAATAAGTATAAGAGGTTTTCTATATGATTTAGAAGTTCTTTCAAATGAAACAAACTAAATTTATTAATTGAACCTAATTCAATCACATGAACAAATTTTCTACGACAAATGTTTGTGACAATTTTATATATTATGTTGCCTGTGTTCAAGCCCAAATATTGGAGCTTGTCTCTGTGGATAGTCCCTGCCATTGGTTCAATGCAACTATTTTCTCTTTTCAATTTGTTGTAAATATACTGGCGAAACTTGTAAATTAAATTTGAAAAAAATCAAATAAAAATTAATTTGTGGCAAATTGTCCATGACCGAAAGCAGCCAAAGTGGCTGTGTACATGAAACAAACGTCGAAGAAAATTTGCTCGTACAGAAAGGGCTTTTGTAAGGACAAAAAATGGTTTAAAATTTAAAAATATGTTTGTTTAGCAGTCGGACCCAACCGAGTTGATTGAAACTGCAAAACGGACTTTGGCAAAAGGAGAATTGGAGATCGCTGAAAATTACTTGATTAAGACCATGCGCACAGTTATGTTGGACAACTCACATAAAAGAAATCCAGAGGCGTATCGCTACTTAGCTGAAGTCCTAGAGAGGAAAGCCCAAGACATGAATTTAGATTTGTTGCAGAGACAACTGTATCTGCTTCAGGCTGCAGCATTGTATAACTTTGTGTGCAGCTATCTGAAAACAGAGGACGTGGAGGGCGAATTGTCCAAAAACCTATCGAAAATCGTCTCTCGTAAGCTAGTTGATATCCAAGACAACATGGTTGCAATGGTTGGAGGAAATCCTCTTTACTGCAAATTTGATCCAGAGCTTAAAAAAAATGAGCTGAAAAATTTAAGGAATGAAGTAGAAAAGTCGTTGGAGTCCATGGAGTGCCGTAGATCGTCTAAGAACCAAGACCCCTTAAACAAATGTGATGTGCGACAGATGCCGAAAGATGAAATTGAGGAGATAAAAGGACTATCTGATACAATTTCGATTAGAATGAAGCAATTCTTGGCAGGGATAATTAACGAATGTTTAGAATTACTTGGAACACCACCTTGTGATTATGACGTTATTGTTCTTGGGTCTTTAGCAAGAAATGAAATGACGCCATACTCGGATTTCGAATGGGCTATTCTCACAAACTCAGAAGAGGAAAAATGTAAAGTTTTCTTCCGAAATTTAACAAACCTGGTTCATTTGCAGGTAGGCCTAGTTTTTGTAGTCGAATAATTTTCAGTAGTCTTATGTTTCTATCATATTAAGTTTATCAATTTTTTTCGTGTGTACGGTCGCCAAGGAAAACTTAACAAGTGTACAAGAAATACTTGCACGGTTTTGGCAAACAACAGTCGGCCTTGACGTGAAATAAATGTTTAACAATATTCCGTGCATACAAGCAACAAAACTTGTCAAGGAAAACTTGTTTACCGTACACACGTAAAGGTAAACTGGTCAAGGAAAACTTGTTGACCGTACACACGAGAAGGTAAACTTGTCAAGGAAAACTTGTTGAATAAGCACATGAGGTAAAGAAGACATTTAGCGATGAAAAACACGGGTGAAGTGAAGAGTGAGAGAAGAGGGAACAAAAATAAGTGGGAAAGAATCCAGGGTAGGAATCATACCAAAGCAGTGAATATATTTGAGCAATCTTTACCTTATTTTAGATTATCAACCTTGGAGAAACCATTTTACCTGGTATGAATATTGAAGCAATTAATAAGGGATGGTTTTTTGATGACATAACGGCAAGAGGAGTTTCGTTTGATGGGTTTCTTCCACAAGCGTGCAAGACGCCTTTAGGAAATATGCCTTTAGGAAATATGCCGAAATATGAGCTGATTCATACACCAGAGAAAATGGCAGATTTCCAGAGCAACGATTGGTATCGCAAGAATTGGAAATTAGGAGACACCTTGTTGACCGTTTCCCCTCTGCAACCGGATAAACATATATTGGTTGATGCTTATCGAAAGGAGGTGGCTAAAATCATGTCTTGTCCTTGTGATTCAGAATGTTGTGAACATGATGCTTCGTGTGGTACTTGGCCTACCCGGGGATCCTGCCGAGGGCTGAACACTCTTCGCAAAGATGTGTCTTGTTATGGAGATGTGATGACTGGCAACAACGACTTGGACGATGGGAAATTTTATGATGTCAAAAAGGAAATTTATCGTTTAACAGACCGTGTATTTGCTGCACTGGCGAAATGTTATGAATTTGATGCAAACGGAACTTTTGCCATTCTTGACGAACTGTACAAAAGGGAAATAATTTCGTCGGAAGCAAGAGATAACTTGGCAAGTGCTTCGGCCATTGCAATTAAACTAAGAATAAGTACTTATCTTAAAGCTGGAAAACAAGGAGAACAACTGAAGGAGAGTTCAAACGAAGAAACGGGAAAGTTGACATCTCTTTATTGTATGCCGAACAATGAAGAACTGTTTCAGTTTTTCTTTATTGCCATTCCTTTGTATGAAGAGTTACGAAAGTTCAAGGCAGCCGGAAACGTACTGCTGTCGCTTACACACAATCCATTCTTTGACGATTCTGATGTCACGATGGGTCATGTATATTGTCGCTTGTTAAACTACGACGACGCTCTGAAATGCTACGATCGTGCCCTTCAACAGGATCCAGAAAATCTGAGTATTGAAATCCGTCGAATAAGTGCTGCACTTTGTATTACAAAGGGCACAGAAGAGACGGATAAGATTCGAGAAAATTTGGAGACCTTGTTGAAGAAAATAGACCAAAGCTGGACCGAGCCGCATCAGGAAACCGCACCATTTGCCAATCGCTTGGACTTGGAGGAAAGTCGGCAGTTGCTAGAAGTATTGCTTTCGGTTTCTTCGTTTTGTGATTGTCCCGAATATTTTGTATTGGCAGAAAAGATTTTTTCAGCGGTAGAGGGAAACAAACACAGTGCTGCAAGAGAACTGCTCATGATGAAATTTGCGTTTATAAAACATATTCCGGCGAATATAGTTCAGCAATACAGTATTGACGCCATAACTTCAGAATTGACATCTTCGATTGATGAAGAAGGCGTGAGCACCAAGAGTATTGTGTGGTTAAATATGCTGGGCGAGTTTTTGTATAATCAGGGTAAAACCGACAAAGCCTATCGTTGTTTTCAAAGAGCACTGAGCATGGAACACCACCTCTACGGGACCAAACCAAACGTAAAAATGATGACATCGTTATATTTTCTTGGGACGACCTCAAAGGACTTATTCATGTGTAGAGAAAGCAAATTTTACTTCGAGTCGTTGGTGCAACTGTTTGAATCATTTGGCGGACTTGCCTCTAAATTAATGGTTAAGAAAGCTTATTTGCAGTTGGCGTGGTTGGGCGACGTAATGGAATATTCTACAGAGGAAGCTCAGTGCTACCTCGAGAAAGGTTTAAAGACAACCACGGGGAGCCGAAATGACACAGAATTAAAATTAGATTGTGCCCTTTACTGCAAGTTAGCAACTACATTCCATGCTAAACACAACCAAGAACAAGCTTGGAAGTCTGCTTTGGATGGGAAAGCCTGTCTTCTTGGAATAGAAGACAGAGTAACGATGATTTGTCGACTCGCTGGGACCTTGGCTGAAATCAACAAAACAAACGAAGGAATTTTAATATTGAAGGAAGAAATTAGTCAAAAACTCACTTCCCAGTCTCAGATGGAAGAAAAGGTCGTGTGTCTTATGAAGCTCGGTAAACTTTGTGTAGAGCAAGGTTTGGCATCAGATGCTGAGAATTATTACAAACAAGCGCTAAAGATTCTGGTTGATATGCAGAATGATGAATGTAATTTTGTTATCTCGGAGTGCCGTATTGGCATTTCAAAAGCCATCATGATGGATAACAGGGTATCTGAAGCAAGAACAGTTTTGGATGAAGCTTTCATTGCAGCCAAAACTTTGCCTGCGAGTTTCAAAAAATATTATTTTCTTTGGGAAATTGGAAAATTGTGTGAAAAACTTGGTGATATCAGTCTTGCTCGACAATGCTTTAATAAAGCCTTATGGACGTGCAAGGAGGAATCAAACGTCGACAAGAAACTCCCGATGTGGGAGTTCAGCTTGGAGATGAAGCTTGGAGATTTGGCAAAAAAGGCTCGGCAAAGTCATTACGACCGCGCGGCTGAAATATTATGGCAACATGTTGCAACCGGACAAGCTGACTCGTTGACTGTTCTCCTTTTTTTATTTTGGGTTGGAAAGTACACGTATGTAGACTTATATGAGACGATAAGACTTTTGTTCGAAACTTTAAAAGTTAGCGAAAAAGTATACGGAACAAATGAATCCAATGAGATGGTCACGAAGATACTTGGACACCTATCGGACACGTATTTCATGACAGGAGATATACAAGCCTCTATAAAGTATAGAGAGCTTCTGATAAACATGGAGATGGATCTGCATTTATCAAACCCATTTCATGAACATATATCCCAGAATTTGATGATGTTGGCCTTTTTTTTCTTGGAAACTCCCGGCGGTATTGAAACTGTCGAACGTGCTTACAAATTCCTTTTATCTGCTCAGAAGGACCGGGCGTCAACACACGGTACTGCAAAAGCAAACGCTGCCAGATGTTTCACTCCTCTGGGCATATTATTCTATACTTTAGGTGACCTGGAAAAAGCCGAGACTTCGAACGAAATAGCGAGTCAGTTATTTAGCGAAATTCACGAAAGTGTTGAAAGAGAAAAACTGCCGTGCAAAACAATGTGCGACATGATGAAAAAAATATTACCATCGAAGGATATATCACCGTTACATACGAAAAAACTTTCCGAATATATTGCAGGATTATTTCCTACTATTTGTAATATTAAACACAACCGGGACCAAATGTTGTCAAATCGCTTTAATCTCGCTGTTGCACTCGGATTATTTCCTGATGATTCACTCAATCCAGAATCATCCAGCTTGGGGGTAATTAACTTAAAACGACACTTTCAGTTAGATGCTCTCGAGAAGAAGACTGGAAATGTCAATCAGGCACCAAAAATACAAACGTCTCTTCTAGCTCAAGATTTATCTCTTTATCAAAGCTGTCCCTTTGGTTATGTTGAAAAGTTAATCAGCGATGCGATCAAAGCCAAGGAAGACAATAGCCCTGGTGGTGGTATTGGATCTTTAGCTCTTGCTTTACAGCTGCAATCTAACTGGAGACAGAAAACTAAAATTCTTAAATTGCGTGGAGAATGTTATTTATCCCGGGGAGATTTCCGAACCGCTGCGATTTATTTCACTGAAGCCGTTAGCGTTTATGACGGTGAGACAGTAGACAATCGTGATGACCTGTGTGAATATTCAGAAGTGTTGATTGGTTTAATAAAAAGCGAGATGCTGTGCCAGAATATAGCGGCTGCATGGCTGAAATGTCAAGAGGCGATGAAACTGGTGTCTGATTATGAACACAGAGAATCCGTACATCTGCAAGCAGTAGAGGTGTTTTACCTTGGAGCAAAATGCATGGATATTTTGTCAGAAAGTGAAGAAAATAAAGATGATAAGCTTGCCCAAGCTTGCTTGTTGTGTCAACAAGCTCTTGCCTTCATCAAGAACGTTGATCACACAAGGAACACCAGTGAGTTGGTGGAAGAACTTGGAAGCTCAAAGCGTGGAAAATTGTTTGCCTTGAAATGTGAAGTGCAGCTGTTGTTGGCGGCCAGTTTCCTAAAGTTACATAAAAAAGAGGAAGCAAAAAGAATTTTGAAAGAGATGGAGGAATTATTGATAAATATTGCCGCCGACTTTGAATCTCTTGCTGCAAATTCTATGCCTGGAGGCAAGCCTGGATCTGTCTCCTACTTTCATGGATTGGTCGAGTATTAGTTATGCGTAATGAAATAAAGCAATCAGTTACTTGGCTGAAGAAGTCACTTTTGGCATTTTTCTCAGCTGCTCTTCCCGACGATACGTTGTCGTTTTATGAAGAATTTCTACCTTTGCTGCAGGCGATCACTGTTACCAAATCAAATGCTACTCACGAAAGTCGCTCTCCGTTTCAACAGGCTGTTGATTTGTGCAAAGAAGCGTCCGTAAAGCATGGTAATGATTTAAACAACGTCTACGAGTTTTTAAAAACTTTGGCAAATCTCTACATGGTCCTCGGGCGCACTGAAGAAGCAATTGTTGTCGCAGAAACTGGTTTGGCAATATGCGAGTTGATGGAAGATAACAATGTCAGTGATCGAATAAACAATCGCAGCAGAATGCTACTATATCTGGCCCAAATGCACCAACTAAATTCAACGAACCCGGCCTTTGATAGAAATGAGGAGCTAAATCTTGCAGAACATTATTACCTTACCGATCAAGGCTCAGCGTTATCACCTGACCGATCAGAGGACTTTGTACTTCAAAAGAATCTAAGCTACACTAACTTTCTGTGTGAACAAAAGCGTTTTGCCGAGGCTGCTACTGTACTTTGGAATATGAATAAATTAGGCAAACAAGTGTTGGATAAGGTTTTGTACTATGCCTATTTTGCACGTGTCTTTTATGGTCCGGGAGTACAGAAAAGCATCGAAGTTGACGGCGAACTATTGATAACTGTTGGACATTGTATGTACAACACAATAGTCCAAGTGCTTGTTGGAATGGGAAAGAGAAGGGAAGCGGTAGCTGCATGCGAGAAGCTGACAGCTTTCTCAGTAATTGTTCACGAGTCAATTTTCGGGCAACGTCCTTCCAGTATCCCATACCTTATCGAAACTTGTCATCGCGAGTTGTTGTCTCTTTTGAATGACGAAGACCAAAAGCAACTTCAGAATTGTGAATTTCCGTTATCCCCAGCTAATCTTTTCAAATTGTATTACATGGTTAACGAATACATCTTGGCACTAAAATACTACCCGAACGAGACCGAGTCACCTGACTTGATCGAAATTAAAATTTCATGCTTGCGCTTAGCTGGAAATGCGTTAGTGGAAATGGATAGAGGAGATGAATCATATGACTACTTCATGCAATTTCTTGCAATGCTTCAAACAAAAGAGGGATTTATGGACAAGCCCTTTCATGCTCAATGCGCAACCCTTGGAAAATATTCTTTTGCAAATCAATATTACATTTTCCGCTCGTTGGGAGGGATAATGGCATGCGAAAGAGAGAATCTTGATGGTGCAATTCAGTGTTATGAACGATGTCTTGAACTAGATGAAGATTTGACCCGTGACCAAGGCCTTGTGGCAGTCCTGGCTGACCTTTATCAATCAAAAGCGTTAACAGTTGACATACAAGACCAAGATTCCTACAAACAACAGATGGACCTTGCTCTTAATTTGTTCCATAACCTGCTTCAAAAGACTGCCGAGTTGACACCATTTGTAGAATGCTCTTTTGCATCGCTTTTGTCGAAATTGGAGCGTTGTGATGAAGCTGTTAAACATTTTGAAAATGTTATTAAAAGAGCAGATGACACACCTATTCGCATTACGGACGCAGACAAGCCGTTGTTAGACGTTCACTTTCGTCGTGAAATTGAAGTTAGAGGCCGTTTTGAGATCTCATTAAAAGTCCAAACTTTCTACGAGTTAATTTTAACTTATATGAAATTGAATGAAGTGGGAAAAGCTGAAGAAGTCGCGCTTCAATTGGAGAATTATGTTAAACGTTTTCAATCCACTCCAAAGTATTCTCGGGCTCTGTCTATAGTAGGATACGCCTACAAACTAGTTGGAAACAAAGAAAAAGCCGCGGAGATATTTGTTTCGGTATTGGAAATCATCCCGGGACATTTACCGGTCACAGAAGCATTGGAAAGCCTCTGTATGTGAGACTGGACATGATGTGAATTACGTAACTGTGAATAACTTAAATCTTACTGCCTTGCGACTAGGGCTGCTCCCAATTAATCGATGATTTTTTCGTTTTTCTCCGCAATCGATCATACTTAACAATAATCGGGATTATAAAAGATCCTGCACAGCATGATAGATTCATCAGTATTTCGTTTCAGATCACTTTGATCCTGATTTAAGTGTTTTCAGATCTTTAGTAGCGCAATAACATGTTCTATTATATTCATTTTGAAATCAATGGTGTTTCCTGCAATCTAACTGGTTCACAGGAGTGCGATTTCAGCACGAATCGCACTCCTACCACAACCTCGTTCCCAGGGTCTCTCCTTCTGTCATCTGGGAAAGACCCTGGCTGCGGCTGGTCACGTGCCTCCCAGATTCTGGGAGGTAAATTTAATTGTAACTGTGAGAGGGGTGGGAATGGAGCGTGTTTGTAGCGTTTTAAAATTGCAACTTTGAGTGATGAAATTTACTGTAAATTTGCAACACGAAATCGTAAAGAGAACTCTTTATTATGTAAACATTTGTGTTATATAGAGTTTTTGGCCACTGAGAAAAATCGTATTTAAACACACGTATAAAATACGATATTTTTACGTGTGAAAATATCATTTGTTGTAAAACGCATTGCCACGGACGTTTTATTGTTTTTCACTGAATTTTGTTTATATAATAAACAGAAAAATACATGGGTGCTTGGAAATATCAGCTTTATTTCTCGTGTTGAACATGATACCTCACTCGTTCGCTGCGCTCACTCGTGAGATATCATGTTCAACACTCGAAATAAATCTGGTATTTCCGCGCACCCATGTATTATTCTCTATTAAATTAATACCTGTATTAATTAAATATTTTTCGTATTTTCGCGAAAACTGATAACGTATTTTAAAGCCTTTGGTACAGTGAAATACTCAAATACTTCAACTTAACTTCTACATATACATCCAAAATCATCTCTGCACATGTGTTCAATATTTTCTGATATAAAAAAAATTCAAACTGCCACGCAAAACGTCAAACTGACTCTTGAAAACTCACCCACCCACTCAAAACGTCAAAATGACGTTTTGCGTGGCAATTTGAGTATGGATGTCGCCCCTTACTATAGGAAGCCTGATTAATACGAGCACATGTATTTTAAACAGTCCGCGTTTGTTTTTAAAACGTGCTGAAAGCACCATTACCATAAACATCTAAAATGAACACTATATAAAACTCATCGCCTTGGCACATCGCCACACAAACAAATAAACTCAAAGTACATTTTCAAGCTCCTTGTATATAAAATAAGACAGTTATTATTGACATCATGAAATCATATGTTTCAATACCTCTGTATCAAATGCTATAGAACAGCAGATCTAAATGCCTTCATGTATATCACCAGAAAGAAATAAAGCCATTCTTACCTGATTTATTCTTTGATATTCGTTTGCAATCCAACATATAAACTCGTATGATCTCGTGTTAAAAGTTTGAAACTGCTTGTACAAATGCTCGTTCAAAAAAACTTCCTGAAGCTTAATTATTCCTCCCGGAAATCATCTTAACAGACAGACGGACAGACAGACAGACAGACAGACAGACAGACAGACAGACAGACAGACAGACAGACAGACAGACAGACAGACAGACAGACAGACAGACAGACAGACAGAAAGACAGACAGACAGACAGACAGACAGACAGACAGACAGACAGACAGACAGACAGACAGACAGACAGACAGACAGACAGACAGACAGACAGACAGACGAGATCTCGACAATACATAGATCGCGCGAAAGACTGGGTCGAGTGGACTCTGGAGAAACCATCGCGTGTCAATACCGCGGAAAAACGTCTGCGCATGCACCAAATTCTGAAAATATGGCGGGGAATTTGAATATCAATTTCTAAAACAAAAACATGCTTATTAACTGGTCAAAAATTAGTAAAACAAACGAGAAAATATAGCAAATGGGTAGACTAGACATTAAATGAAAGCGTCCTGGCATTTAAAGTATGGAATGAAATATAATTCATGTAAAAAATTGTTGATTTTAACGGACACGACTTCGAAAATTTTTGCAAAATTATTCAAAACAAAAATTCAAACTCAAAAGTTAAGAAAACTCTCGAAAAGTTAAGCTTCTTAACCCACTCAAATTGTAGAATAAATCCTAAAGTTTAATTATTGTGAACACGCAAATTTTTTATATTTGAAAACACAGTTTTTTTTTTAGAAATGTATCTCAAACGAAAATTCGGAAATTGTCATTGCTTAGTTGATAAACAAAATGTTTCAGACGATAAATTTGTCAACAATCACCTTTAGTCTATGTTCTTGTACAATACAATTTCTTGAACCTTCTGGCTGTATTTATTTCTAGTTTTTAGAATGACATGTTTATTTTTGCGCTTGAAATCTGGCTGTAAAGACACACAATGAAGTCACTCCTTTTTACCGCCATTTTGAGCCTTCGGAAACGTTTGGAACAGCTTCTCATCAAGTTCGCAATACTATTACAGGTAAGGGTGACGCATGCGCAGACGTTTTTCCGCGGTGTTCCGCGTGTCAACAGGTGGGCAATTTGTCTGAGCATGCGCGAATAAAATCAATATGGCGACATATATTAGGATATATTAGGAGTGTTTCGTGAATTTATCTGGTTTTAAAGCTGATAAAACAACATTTTAATGAACGAAAACTTTGTAATATTTAGTGGAAAACATTGAACTATGTATTCCAAAGGTTTTGAATTGAAAATAAGTACTTTTGCTTTATTTTATTGCTTTTTATGCTTTGAAAACAGGCAAGCTCATTTTTTGGCAAAAATCTAATCTAATATTTTACCCATAATTTGTTTAATCTGAACAGAAATAGATAGAACACTTGGCTATTTAAGTTACAAAGGTATTGTTAGCTTATCTGAAAGATTTCAGTATTCCTGGTACACATTTTAACAAAGAATGAAATGTAATTTCAAAAATTAAATATGCATATCACAAACAATAGTTTTTATTAGAACAGCAAATAATAAGTTGTTATTTTCTATTTTACAAAAACAAGTTTGGAAACAGGATTTAGTCCTCCAGCTTGATGTCATATTCCATTTATTTGGATATTTCAATAAAGGAATGTGAAATAATAATTTAATCTTGTGCAAAATTTGATACCAACACACATGTAAACAGATACTATATCACCTGAAATAAAAGAAAACAGAACTTAAATTTATCATCTAATGCTATGAAAAAAATCTTAGATATACTACAGGCATATTATAGTGAGCACAATTCTTTAACAAACTCACTAAAATAAGTTAAATTATACTATGATAAGAGGATAGCAATAGATAACAACATCAAATGTTGCCATCTTCAGCAGTGTCCAAAAAAATTTTTCGTGGTTGCATAACTGGTATTGTCACAAACACAGGTGAAAAAGCAATTAGAAAAACCTGGTTTTGAGTGATGAGCATAGTCAAATTCTTGACTTATTCAATTTTCTATGTTTTTCCAGGTAAACAGATTAAACATTCAAATAAGCAAACCCCAGCAACTTTACTTTAGGGTTAGGGCTAGGGTTAGGGGGTGGGGGTTAGTGGGTGGGGATTAGAGGTTAGGGTTAGGGTGGGGGTTAGGGTTACAACCCAATAACTTATTGCTGATAACGGTTGATAATTACAATACTATATTGTTGATAACGCAAGGAGCGGCTGGTTCGAAAGGCCTTAAAAGTAAACTTATGAACATATCAGTGTATACAAAACAATACGCTAAACTGATCTGAATACACAAATGTACAAGGAAAACACGAATACGAAACCAGGTAAACCATAAAGTAAACAAACCATATCATTCAATTACTTAGAATTGTTCAAGTATACTATTAATATAACAAAAAGTATATATGTTTTAGAGTAAAAACATATTTTACAACAGCTAATGCCGAAATGCAAAATTCACTATTAAATTCATACTTCGTGGCAAACTTGAAATTTTGCTTTAATATAGTACGCGGACATAACGAGAAAACCGCTACAAAACTGCCATTTAAACCAGTGCATTTTTTAAGGATTCTTCAGTGGTGGAGCAAAACTGCCAAAGGGCCCATTTTCCTCGTTCTCCCCCCCAGGATAGTTTGCGATCGCCGAAGGTGTGTCTGGGGCATGGGGTGTCTGGGGCATGTCCCCCAGGAAATTTGTTAAATTTTGGTCTCTGAAATAGCATTTTCTGCATTCTGAGAACACGTTTTAAAAAAATATCAGTTTCTCGAAACAAAGTTTAATGGTAAAATTTGTAATAAATTGCATGCTAAACATCTAAACACAACATAAGTTTAAAGCCCCGTTTACACTACGCTCAACCGTACCACTTTTTGGTTCTTGGACTACCTAAATAGGTAGTCCAAAGCTCCGTTTACACGACAGTCACTTTGGGCACGGCACGCTTAAATTTTGGCACGCGGACCCATTTCTTTGGGCACGGCACTCTTGATTTTTGTCGTGTAAACGTCGCCGGGCCTGTCCGATTGCGGTACGCGTATCTAAGATTTTTGGGGGGCCGAGACCATTTCTTGAGGTAGTCTCGGCCCGCCAAATAAGCGGCACCGTGCCCAAAATTTTGCTATTTCAGCACTTTTCGGTGGCGCGAAGTATTTCGCGGGAATTAGTATTAAGCAAAATGGCTGCAGTCAAGAGAAACAGAGGGAAAGTATGGAGCAACGAAGCAACAAAACCCCGGCTTAATCTGTGGTGCGACGAAGCAATTCAGGTTGCATATGATCGGTCTGAGGGATCTAAAGAAACTAGTAAAGTTTAGCAGAGGTTACTGGTAAGTTATTCCGCAAATTTTTGAATATTTTAACATAATTTTTAGGGTGACATTCGACTGATTCGAGGTGGCATTGCAATTTTAGCCACATGACATACGATAGACCATGCAACAAGAACTGAAAAGCACAACTTTTAATAGACCACACTGAAGAAGATGGCTAGTTCTGGTAGTGTGTAGTAGCATAATACGTATATTATGATGGAAATTTTAAACAATATATATTTAGGTCATTTTAATACAAAATAAAAGTTACTGTACACGTTTAGAATGTTACTTTGTATTTGAATGTTTATACTCAATATATTTTGTAGGATCAGTTACGAGCGAAAGGTTTTTCTGACTTCACATTAAAAGAAATTGTAAATAAAGTGAAACAATTAAGACAAAAATATAAATCTGAGAAAGATAAAACGAAAAAATCGGGAAATAGTAGAAGCAATAAGTGGCTGTTTTTTTAGCAGACGGACAGGTTCCTTTCTCAAAGACATCATGTCACTCCTGTTGCTCTTGTGGATACTGGCAGAATCTGAGAAAATGGATCACCATAGCGATTCTTTAGATGATGATCAGAGTTTAGGTATGCAGCAAGTTTGTTAAGATTCAAGTCAAACCAATTTTTTTAATATCTAGTTTAAAAGGCTGAAACTGGTTTAATTAATTGTCTAGGTTTAATATATGTAATATATATATATATATATATATATATATATATATATATATATATATATATATATATATATATATATATATATATATATATATATAATATTAATAAACCTGGGCAATTAAACCAGTTTCAGCCAGCCTCCTAATATTAGGAGACACTTTGTGCCCCTAAAATAAACAAACCTATAAGCAGAATACAGTAGGAGTGTTGGACTAATGAAAGAGGTACAAACCTGGAGACCTCTAATTTAAAAAAATGTATTACACTTTGTGCTAAACACGCACCTCCCCTCTCCCCTTCAGTAATTATCAGGCTTCCTACACCCCTGAACCAGTCATTATTAAAATGTTGGATGACAGTTATTGAATATCAGCAAAATAAAATATGGCTAAAGCCTCTTTTTCCTTTTTTCTAAAATTGTATGTCATTTGCATGGATCTTAATTCGACATTGTTATTTAGTACCATCTTTTGTAAAGTAATCTGAATACTTAATTATTAAATTTTACTTCATATTGATCATAATGACATGTTGAATTTTTTGCTAGTTGACAATCTAATGGATATTAAAGTATGGGGAAGGTTCAACACAGATTCACAAATGTCAGACATGTGAGTATGAAAAAAAGATTTACTCAGGAGGCACACACATTACTGAAGGTGGTTCTCTGATGGTGTATGCAGAAGAGGATGAATTTGTGTGTCCAAATTGTGACCCAAGTGCTGTTGATGGAAATGACAGTGATGCTGGTAAGAGCTAGAGTAAATATAGGCTAAAAATAATATATTTTATTCCATTGCACCATTACTGGTACATAGGATATAATACAATATAACAGATACATACAAACAATAAAACTATAGCTATTCCTTAATTACAAACAGTACAGTCAGACAAAATCTTAGTTAAATGTTGTTCTTTAAGTTTTTAATAATCCTGTAGCTAGGCAAAGCCATGAATTCTATAATAATATTACTCAATATTTGATATTTCATATACATTCAACATTTAATTGTAGATGACATATGCCTGAAATGGCTTAATATTTTAAACATTTTCTGGTGGACCATGCCATGACCATCTATCTAGTCCTGGAAAAAAACCATACATTCTGCTCTGGCCCAACCGGCAAAAAGACTTTTAAATAAATGTGTACTGATGTTGTGTTTTTGTGAAACATTAATGTACATTACCGAGGCCGGTAGGGGGGAGATGCCCAAGGCCTGGAAGTCGGGGGCAGCAGAAAATCACCAGAGCGCAGCGCGCACATGTGTGCTTGTGTGTGTGATTGTGTATGTGTGTGTGGATGGGAGGCAATGGTCACAAATCTGCCCTGGGGCCCTATGATGGGTCTTGCTAGTCATGCATGTACACTAAAAATTTTGACTAAATATCATTAGGAGTACCTGAGGTAAATGACCCAAAATTAGAAAACAAAGAAGAGAAAGACATGATAAAAGAAAAAAGTACAACTGATAAAAAGATTGGGGCAAGGAAGAAGAGAAAGAGTACAGTTGAGAAAAGCATGGAAGTCGCTTTTAACCAGTTCAAAGAAACTGCTAAAGATGATTTCGAAAGGTAGGTGATTACACATAAAAGGATGGTTCTGAAACAGATATGGAAGGAGTAAAATCAAACAGGATGAAGGTTGTTTGACTCTATAAACCTGTGTGTGCTGCAAGGTTTGCAGAGTGGACATGGCTTATTTGTGATATTCCAACAAAATGTCGTTTAGGAATTATTTTAAACCTGCATTAATTTAGACATACATAGTTTATTTCAAATTTAAAATTAGCAAACTGTTATTTCATTTTGAAGTTAAATGTCAATTTTTTAACTTTATATTTTTCAATAATTTTCATAAAGTTGCGGTACCATTGCATGCCTTGTTTGTTTCTAATTGCCTATGCAAGTGTATGGCCCTCTAAGTCTACTATGAATAAGTTCCAACTTTAAAAACATGTGGTCCATAAGCAGATGACTCCAGAATTAATTGTGTTGGCCAAACAATATATTGTGAACATTTCTTAAACAATATTCTGTACAATTTAACTATGGCTTTTAAACAGACCAATTGTATTCCCCTAATTAATATCTTCTAGATATAAGAAATTTGAACAGGCAAGATTAGATAAAGAGCACCAATTCTATATGGAACAAGCAAGACTGGAGAATGAAAGAAGAAAGGAGGAAAGGGAACACGAGTTAAAGATTTTTGGTATGATGATTGGCAGCATAAACCAGTCAGGTCAAAATTTAAGCAGCCCGGCGTCCACTTTCTGTTCCCAACCATTTGCCAATGTTCAGAAACAAACCAATATAGGAAACAGCTACGGATGTGATGCTCAGGATGTTACTCGCTACAACTTGGACGGAGACAAAACCTATGTTGATTTATAGATGTACAACATTTATACAGTATTAAAATTAAGGACTAAGTAACGTATTCATATTTGCTATTCTTTACCCATTCTGGGTTACGTAATTTTAGTGCGTTGTGTTATACTGTGCTATGCAACTGTCGGAATAAAGATGCACACGGACGAACGTTGCATGTACAACACCTTGTTTTGGATTACATTTTGGAGACAGTTAGCAATAAATACTGTGTGCTATAGGTTAACAAATTATAATTTGTTCTTTAAAGGATTTTTCCTTGTAAAAAGTTTATTTTGCGAACATTTTAAAGTTTATTTTGCGAACATTTTATATTTAAAGTGTTAATGTCAACCGATGTATATTAATATATTTATATCAATTACCATTGTATGGATTATTGTTCTCAGCCGGACGTCAGTTCTTCCTAGCTAAAGTAATCTGCTAATGCTTCACGAATGTCGTGTGCATCAGCTTCTACAATGTCAACGTTATCAATCCCCACAACTGCCTCTTCGGCTCTTTCTGGTCCTTCCCACTGCGGCAAAAAATCGTTGTTTTGAATTTCGCAAATGTTATGCAGAATACAAGAGGCTAAAACAACATTGACCAGGGCAGGTACCTCCATATCAACACATTTTCTAAATCTAATAAAACGTCCTTTCCACCTGCCGAAGGTGTTTTCTACAGTCATTCTGGCTCTACTAAGGCGATAGTTAAACACTCGTTCTCTTCTCGGCTGGTTATCGTTTCTCTGAAAACCTTTCAAAACCCATGGCAAGAGGGGATAAGCAGGATCTGCTACTATAAATGGTGACATTTCTACTCCTTGTAATTCCACAGTGAGATCATCTGGAAATAGCTTGCCTTCATTCCCTTTCTTGAAAATAGATGAATTTGAAAATACCCGTGCGTCGTGAACGCTTCCAGGCCAACCGATGACCACATCTCTATACAGGTATTTGCAATCCACTACAGCTTGCATGATTATGCTGTGACAGCCTTTCCGGTTTACGTATTCTGCGTGACATTCGGACGGTGCAACAATAGGAATGTGTGTCCCGTCAATCGCTCCAGCACACATTGGAAAACCCCATCGTTGTTCATAATCATTGATAATTTGCACCAATTCGTCTCCATGCGGAAAACTCACAACATACGACAACTTGCTCGTTATTGCTTTGCAGACATCTCTAACGCATAAACACACGAACGATCTTGAAACACCAAATAAATTGGCTATAGTCCTATATTCAGCAGTGGATGCCAAGAAGTATAATGTAATGGCCAGCCGTCGCTTCGCCGAAATTGCAGAACGCATGACTGTATCTTTGCAGCGTATATATTCCATGACTTTATTTAAAAGAAATTCGAATGTCCCCCTTGTAACTCGAAAGTTTGAATACCAAAGTTCGTCATTATACTCTCGATCTACCATCTCGAACCAAGTAAGTGATCGTGGATGCATCCACAGTGCTCTATAACGTGGACGGTTAACACAAACTAATATTGCTTTCAAAAATGTAATTCGCAGTTTATTCGTTGAATAAGCATCTGATCTCAGCAGGGGTTTTTTCTCTAATATTTTATTAGCTCTTTTTTCTCTCCTACGAAGGAACCAAAGTAGCAGTAATTTGAGTTTGTGTGCTTGGTTGAAAGCCGCCATATTTAAATTTTCCCGCGGAAATATTAACCGCTGAAAATGTACTTTGGGCTCTATTTTTACGAGTGCCGTGCCAAATTATTGGAGTGCCCGTCGAATTTTTTTTGGTCCGGCAATTTGGCAAACTTTTGTCGTGTAAACGTGTGAGTGCCGTGCTATGAATAAATGGTACGGTACCAAAATTAAGCGTGCCGTGCCATAAACGTTTGTCGTGTAAACGGGGCTAGTAATGCTGTGCAAATTTTTAATGAATAATGATTTGCATTAGGGGTCACGTCCATATTCATGTTGCCACGCATAACGTCGAACCGACGTTAACACTCAAACCCACCCACCCACCCTAAATAACGTCGAACGTGGCAGTCACATGCTTCAAAACTTTCACAAAATTGTCATTTTGCCACGAGATTATCGATATAACGTCGAGAGAATTAAGATAAACCCACCCACCCACTCATAACGTCGATTCGACGTTATGCGTGGCAATATGAATATGGACGTGACCCCTTATTTAATATTCAATGTACATATCGTCTTTACTCGATTTAGATGCAGGTTTATGTACAATGTTGAAAGATTCAACTTTCAACCAACGAAAGTAGTTTAACAGTCAAAGTCGAAATGGCATAAACTATAAAGGAAAAATAGAGGAAAGCACGAAGAATATTGTCTAACAAAGGGCCTGTTCATATGATCCCGCTTACCGGGACGTCTCGCTTACCGAGACAAATATTTCCGTGCGTTCATATGGAGTATTTCGTCCCGCTTGCCGAGATGAAATTACATTGTAGTTCTATAATTAGCGTATGCAAAAGTTCTACATTTC